CGTGTGACCCTGTCCAACCGTCACACATATAGACTTTGGAAATGACAACAATCGGCCCAGGCCCAAAACGCGGAACATAAGTGATGCTTTCCTCAGAGGGCTGAGCCATGTGGCACGCTGTGCGGTGCCCACCTGGGTCGAACATCTCGTTCAGGAGGCGGTCGCAGAAGCTGAAGAAAGGCCACGCGCCCGCAGAGTCGTCCTCGTCCGCGTCCTCGTCAGCGACAGCCTCAACCACCACCTGGAGCAACCAAGCAAGGTTTCCAAGGTTTGGATTTGTTGTGTTTTGTTTTGTTTTGTTTTGTTTTTTTTTCAAGGTTTTGATATCCAAGGGGTAAAGGGTTTTAGAGTCTTAGCATTTGAGGGTTTAAAATATTCAAGTTGTCAGGATGAGACGTCTTTCACAAGGGGAGAGTGCTTTGAAACGAAGCGGCAATCTCGTATCCAGAAGATGCCTGACTTCGTTTGCGGCAGAATAGTTGACGGCTTCTGATTCTCTCTAGTAAGATTCACAGCAGCTGAGATGGCACGGATAAATGATTCCATCGGCATGCTCAGGGGATCTCTTATGAGTCCGCATCCAGAAGAATGCAAGCCGCCAAATCCCTACTTCCACCAAGATAAGGTGTGCTACGTTAGTCCCCAGCACTTGCAGCAGCGTACAGAATAACACACACTCCTGAGGCCATGGCCACAACGAATTAGAGTCTCTAAAACGGGATGGCCACAAAGAAGTGGAGTCTCAACTAGGGGAATGAGCTACCATCCCCCAGATGCTGACGCAAGCAATGCGCTGACGCAATCAAAGCTGGCGCCTCACCTTGTTCCCGTCCTGCGGCTGCTCCGTGACGACGGTCTTGCTGGCGTGCTGCTTCTTGGCCGCGGGCCCCTCCTCCTCCCTGCTGACGTAAGCAGCCTCGCGGCCGCGCGCCTGCGCCTTGGCCTTGCGCTTCAGCTGGTTGCGCTCGCGCGCGCTCAGGTGGCCCATCCCCGAGATCAGCTCCTCCACCTTCTGGCGGCCGTCCGATGGCAGAGCGTCCGCGGCGGGCTTCTGTGGACAAAACAATGGGCTGTCTCGACCTTTTGTCATGGCGGAAAAGGCAACCTTTCAGATTCGTACAGCCGCCCTCAGGTGGCCCAGCCCAAAGATGAGTTCCTCCACTTTCTGGCGGCCGTCCGACGGCAATGCGTCCGCAGCGGGCCTCTGCGGATAAAACAATGGGTTGTCTCGACGTTTTGCCTTGATGGGAAAAAAAAGCTTTTAGGTTAGTACAGCCGCGTTCTCGGTGACTGGCTCCGTCAGGTGGTCCAGCCCCAAGATCAGCTGTTCGACATTTTGGCGGCCGTTCGGCTGCAAAGCGTCCGCGGCGCGCTTCTGCGGGCAACACCGTGGGTGTTATAAAGGATTTGGTGTGTGATAGGGTCTTAGTGGACGAGACCTTCTTATAACCTTTTTTAACATTTTTTCAGATGAATGGTCCCTCCTTTTCAAAAGGTGTTTGAAGAAGAACTTCCACAGTAGTATTCTAGAGTCTAGATTTTCATCCGTTCATTGAATCTGTCGTCGACTGATCCGGTCCTTCGTTATTCTCGTCTGTTGTTCATCCGTCTATCCAGATGTTCATTTAGTTTTTCATCGAAGGAGGTGATTCTTTCTTACTCATCACCCGTAACCTTCGATGGTTGTTCCGTTCAATCTTGACGACTTACAACACCTTCGGACCATAACATGGGCGGGCTCTGTGAAGGTTCTCGAGGTCGCCAAAACCTTGAACCGCTGTCTTTTTAACCAACGAGATCCGACTTCGCTGAACGGTTATGAACTCTGCTTAGAGCCCGCAATCCTTGAAATAGATATTGACGAAAGGCGGATGCGACGAGAAAAGTTGAGGACCGCAAGACTACGTAACTAGAAGGGCCATCTCTTCTTTAACAATCAGCAAGCACCCACTCCATAGGCTGGATCAAAGGCTCGCTCCAGCCGTTACATCAAATCATCGACCTTTTTGACTTACCTGCACCAAGTCTTCATCCTCAAAGATTTGATTCACGTCCAAGAAGCGCTCCGCTTCTTCCAGACCTGCATAAAGGAAAGCGGCATATTAATCGCAGGACATATACTCTTCCAAGAACAAGCCACCTTTATCGGTAGCATGCTCCTTTTCATACAGGAAGTGGTTTAATTCCTAACGTTCACAAGAGCGAAATGACATGTCGTGAAAGTCGTGAATTCAGGAAGCCCCTGAAAGTCACGAGCCAAACACTACCACTTATGGCGAGGAATGTAAGAGCGTACACTAGGGAAGCATAATCGGTTACAACTTTGGAGAAGGCTGACACGAGGTCCCAATCAGAAGGCGTCAAATGAGGAGAATGATAAAGTACGGGATTATGTCCAGCGCCATGTCCAGCGCCTAAGCAGGAAAAACAATCCTCACCCAGCCTGCGCTTCAGGTTCTGTCTCTGCTAGGCCAGCCGCTCCTGGATGGATCCCCCCACCGGCGCCGAGTCGTATTCCTGGCCGCCCGACGAGAGGAGAAGCGCACCATGCTCCAGTACTCGCTAGATGTCGAAGCTGGAGAATTGGGGGGCAAAACGGCGCTTCTCATTATTTTCTCTGAAGGCGTGAGGCATTGCAGACGCCGAACTACGCTACGTGACGATCTGCAGAGATACTACGACTCTGCTGATAAAGACATCCGTCGGCAAGGGGGCGATACTGTGCCTGTTCGTAATCAGAGAGAACAGTCGAGATGCCGACACCCAGACCAATCCAAGATGCTGGACGAATTATTGGCGCGTTTCCAACAGCGAGGATGGATACTGAAACGTCGAGATTCTCCGACATCCGCCTGCCACCCCAACAGGAACATTTGTTCTCACACTGCTCCTCTCTCCCCTTCCCCAGACAATCGTACCCAACGAGGCCGCCACACACTCCCACCTCGAAAATTGCATCAGCCCACTGTCCGGCGGCCCTTCGAACGTCCCCGCTGCTCCATCATGAGGCGTGTCCGAATCTAGATTGCGCGCAGGATGCTCTAGCTTGGCAGCTTTCTCCAAACTCTCCACAGTAACATGGGGAACGTGTTGAGCGATGGCCCCCACAGCCTGGCCGGCCGCTACTCGCGTGTCCCACTTCTTACTACGCAGAAAGCGGTGGATCTACAGAAATGGAGAAATGGAAGGATTCAGAGGTCATAGAAGCCCTACTGGCGGTCCTCTTTGTCAATTGGGTGTGCGGACCGGAGGATAGAGTGAATGGTGGGGTAGCGGATGAGGAGAGAAGTCAAACAGTGTGGCGCGAAGGGTATATGCACGTTGTCTAACAGATCAAAGGTGCAAGTATGAGGGCAGAGGGGGTGTAAACCAAAGCACGGAACCAGAGGGGAAAGGAAAAGGAAAGAGGTAGGGAGAGGCATAGATGGAGAGTAAGTCATAACAGGAGAATGCCTTCGCAAACTTATCGAAAAATTGAGGCTACATGGCCTCATTTTCTCACAAGTTGCCTCACAAGAATACAGATGCAGTCTACCCCTTTCTCACCTTGGCTCAACTTACTCATTGAGGTGTAAAGTTTTCCTGCCGCTATTCAAAGGCTACTTACCTCCAGGTCTTCAGCCCAGATCTTGATGCAGCTTCTTGGTTCGTTTCGGGGCAAATGCGACACCAACATTCAATTAACATGAAGTGTAGCCACTACAACTTGAAACAAGCAGGGAACAGGGATGCTTACTTTCGCGAGAAGCGCACGGAGGCCCTCTTTGTGCAGCCCGGCCAGCTCCCCAATTTGCTGCGCAGCATTGCGGCGAGTGGCGGGGGTGGAACCAGCTGTGGGGGCGTCAAGGACTTTCACCTCAACAAAGATTTGGACATTTACCTTGTGGGGAATTCCATTGTTTGCCTGCTCTTGTTTACAGTACAAGACTCGGCTTCTGACCATATCCCCCCACCCAGAAACGCAGACAATGACACTGTTATAGGGGAGGCTCAGCCATATGTTGAGTCCCTTCATTTGAGTGCGTTCAGCAAGAGTTCTACAGTGGCTCAGAATGGGAGCCAGCCCCAGAGGGATTGGTCAATTGCAAATGAGAAAAGACTCCATCGAAACACAGTACTTAACCATTGTTAGAAGAGAAAATGTTGCTGCACTTGTCCCCCAACTTGCATTTTCACCCGAACAGTTGCAGTAGCACAAGAAAGTCATACAAGACAGTAGAAGAAGCCTTGATAAGTGGTGGTAGCACGATTTAACAAGACTGCAACATAAGGATACTGTCCAATAGCGTGAGAAGTCGGTCCAGCCGAGTGGTCCCCTTGCCATCCGCCGCCGGGCCGCCACCGGAGCTCGCCATCTGGCTCCGGCAGCGTCCTCTCCAACACTACGAAGTTTCACTGCTGAAAGGGGAAGGTATGTCCTGTATGCTGAGATCCTACACAGACTGCGCTAGAGTTAGCACATATCAGCTTTGGCGCTGCGTTTGCCATTGGCCCTTTTGGGATACTTGTTGTGAAGCCTGAAGGTCAGCAGAGGTCAGCTCAGCCAAGTGGTCCTTTGTTCAAAGTTTCCGGGAGAAACAAAATTGCTTTTGTCTGGAGGAAAAGTTGCTATAAAATCAGGTGAACATTGCCCCTTATCTCAGTGTAGCACAAGCCGTATTCTGATGTGACTCCCAATTTACCATTTTTACCATTTAATGAGCTGTGAACCACCGGGCCATGTCAGCGCATCTGGCTGGCCTGCATATGCAGCCCTGCATTGTGATCAGTTACACAGAATAGCACAGCAAGCAGGCTGACAGTGAGGGGGAGGCGGAATGTGCCCCTCCATCAGGATGCACTGATGCCCGTATTCGCATGCATCAGTACTGACTTGTCCTGGCAATGCTGACCCTTTCTGCCTCTACGCAAGGCATGCCCCTGAGCTAGTGGCACAACGTGGCCCGGGGGTTCAAGATGAGCCAGCACACGATCGCTGTCCTTGGCATGCGAAGCAATCTGCAGCAGTCTGTGGGCTTTTTGAGCTGGAGGCCAGCTCCAGGTTTCTCATCCCTTGCTCAGTGCCCTTGCTGGCTGAATCAGAGTCTGCACAACCTTAGAGAGCAGCAACTATTGCAACAAAGAGTCGCTGGACTCCAGCCCTTCGGATGCGTCAACCAGGGCAGATCAGAAAAGGGCACTGTACCCGACGCTGTTCACTTCAGCAGCGTTGGACTTATTGGGTTGACACAGGTCTTGGCTTTGACTGGCGGCTGGCTGCTGCTGAGAAGTTCCGAGTTGGCAAAGAATGCTGGCCAGGGGTTAGTTCCAGAACACAGCTACAGCGGAGGCGGTGGTAAGGCTGGGGGAGGTCGTGGAAGCTGGGGCAGCGGCGGCAGCGACGGCAGGCTCCCTGAAGAAATTGAGGGTCAGACTTTCCTCCACTTTGGGAAGGAGCCTGACGAGGAGGACCAAACCTCCTCTCAGCAGGAGTCCGACGCTGAAGTGTTCATTGTCATCCCTGCTCTGAATGAAGCCGCCTGTATAGCAACCACCGTCGGACAGTTCCAGTTGTCAGAACCCCACCCAGCAAGAATCATTGTGGTCGATGGGGGAAGCGTCGACGGGACGCAGGAGAAAGCCCGAGAGCAGGGGGCTGTGGTGGTCACCAGTCCAAAAGGAAGGGCCCGGCAACAGAACCGGGGGGCAGAAGTAGCAGTGCAGATGGCCGGGGGAAAGGGGGGAATCCTGTGTTTTGTACATGCTGACACGCTGGTTCCAACAGATCTTGTGAGTGACCACCTTTGTTTGATGGAAGTTTTTGAGTGGTATAGAACGAACATGTCACTAGGCACAGTTGTTGACGCAGTGGGGCTCGCTTTTGATTCCTTATGTTGGGTCGCCAAGAGTTAGTGTTATGTACAAATCGCCCTTGCTTTAGGCAGTTGACCAGTCACATTTTCTTTTTTCTAAGGCAGCCCGGATGGAAGAGGGATGAAAAGCTCTAGACTCTTGGGGACGCTCTTTCATCATCGGTGGAAGGCACTGGTCGTAGCACTCCTTCATTAGGCAATCACCACTTCCAATAACGATCATAGCCGGTTCTGTAGATACATCTATCAGCGGCAGTATCACCACAAGACCCTCTTCTAGGAAGGAAAGAGCGTGCATAACGAAGGATTTCTGTTGCAGGTAGCCGTTGTGAGGAAGACACTAGCTGACCGGAGGGTTGTTCTAGGCGGCTTCCTTCCAGTCATTGAAGTCGGGGAAGGAATCATGTGGCCTATGAGCTGTCACAACGCAATCAAGGTTTGCCAGCTGTCCTTTTAAAACTCAGTTGCTCTCAAGATGCCACATAGTGCCCAGCTTGATTGATGTCATCTGGACATGCTAAGCGTGGATCGCAAAAAGCGTCGTGTTCCAGTTTGTGATTAAAGAAGGTCAAGACTTTGAAAGGCCTAGATCTAACCCTTTCTTCTTGTGATGCCACCCAAACCAGGGACATACGAAGTTCTTACTGAACCTCTTCTTTCCACGAAGATCTGCGAAGGTAGCGCGCCGATAATGTGATCTGACTGTCCGATAGCCGAAACTTGAAGGATGATTGATGGTGGAGGTGCAATCCCTGGGATAACATGCAAGCTCGTCACAAATGCGGTTCCCTGTTGACCGAGATTATGATCTTGCCCCTGTTTCGTTGCAGACCTTTTACCTGCCCCTCCTGCTGCGGCCGCTATCCTTTGTGAAGGGCCTTCGGGCCCTGTTCGGAGACCAAGTAAGTCACCCATGTTTTGACTCATAGGCTGTACTTGCGCCTCTTGGTTAGACGAGGCCCTTGTCGTGAGCCGTACTCGGGTTTTGACGTGCATCTGACTACATCTCCTTGACCTTGGTTCACAAGATGCTGTGCAAAAATTCCCTCGACTCCGGCCTCTCAGAGATTTCAAGACTGAGATAGGAGCGCTTCCTTCGTGGACATCGAAGTTCATCGAATCATGTCAGGTAGAATTGTCGGCTGTGTGCAGGTCCTATTCTGTAGGGCTCGAGACTTCGCTGCCGTTGGGGGCTTCAACCAAGAGCAGCCAATTATGGAGGTAAGCTCGCCACCCCAGCTTCGAGATCCTCAACGAATTTCTACGAATCATCTTCGGTACCACGTTATTCTCGGATCGTTTCACGTCAAGCAGGTTCTCGCTTCGCGCTCCTGCCAAGCAGAAACCCCTGACTTCAAAGCGGCATGGCTTCAGAGGGTGTTGCAGTCCTGAAAAGATGATCGTCGTCCGTATTCCCGTCTACCTGAAACCTGGTAAACAGGCAGAGCCTCCGCAAGCCTATACTTAGAGCTAGAGAGACGCTGTAAAACCTCGTGACGTCACGCAATCGTCACTCAAAAGGAGATTTGCTGGCGTACAGGAGCTTGATCTGTGCATCCGGCTGCATATGCGGAAACCGGAGGGCACGTCCGCCCAGCGGGGCAGGATTCGCATGGTGAACCGAATGGTTCACACCAGGTTTGTGCCCCTACCGCCCTTTTAATAAGGTTCGCATCTTAGTTCTTTCTTCTGTCTTCATCCCTTTGTCTTTGCCTTTGTTTTGGATCTTCTTATTAGCTTTCCTATCGTCATCGTTTTCTCCTTTCCGATTGTCGCCTTTCCTCGCAGATCTATTTCTCCCGCACTCGGGCGTACGGCCCTGATTTATAAAGTTGGGACTAGACATGGGCACCTTGGATGGTTTTTGAGAGTTATCAGATCAATGGAGAACGCGCAAGGCGAGTGTTTCCTTACAAAGAAAAGCTACTATCCGGATATGCATCGCCGTCTGGCATCGATGAAGAAGGCCCCTCGTCATCTCACTATCTGAAAACTTGGACGCAAATCCCTGCAGACAACGCTGCCAGAGGTTCGATACCTTTGAGCCCGTTCAGGTCTTCCGTCGTACTGTAATCGTCAATCAAACCGAGCCTCTGAACTGCATGGATTTGTGTGCTCCGAAAGCATCAATTACTGTCTGGCTCCTTCTCGTCTCAATCCCCAGCAACGGTGTGCACGGGCCCTTCTGCCGCGTCATCAACTTCAAAAATGATTGACACGAAGTTGGAGCTTGCATACCATCATTCAGTCTCGGAGCTTGCATTTCGACGCAGAATGATCTTCTCGATTTGAGAGATGCGGACGTTTGTTCCTTAGATCAGCCCTCATCACGCCTTCGCAGAAGTTCGGTTGTTCAGTACGCCAACTAAGTCCCTTCAACTTTAAATAAGGTTCTTCGGGCTCATATTCTGGTACTCGTCTTCATCCCTGGTACTTTTCAACGCCGCTGACGGATGCTAATCCGATGTCGCCATTCTCTCATGCCAGCGGACGAAGGTTCGTCAGCCTTGGGTTTCTTCGCGCGACGTACATCCACTTCTGCATCGGACTTAGGTCAGCCCCGACAACGTCAATCGAACCTCAATCTCCTCTTGCAAGTGGTTCTTTGAACGCTCGGGTTCAAAGTCGATACCTTTAAAAACGACATTTGTATGTATAATGTTGGTCTTATGGACCTTGCTAGACTCTTTTTGTAAGATCAGGCGTGCATAGCAGTCGCGCTTTGGTGCTTTGCAAATCCACTCAAACGAACAATGGCTGCCTGCAACTACTGCTGTCGTTCGTCTCCATCCCTGCAAGCGCCCTTTCTAGCTGAGCAAACCTTTTTTGGCTTGCAGCTGGTATCTAGGCGCCTCTCCAATCCAGATGGAAAGGCTTTACAAGCAGATGTACCAAGACGTTCGATAGTAGCTTTGTTGTTAGGTATCTCCCGTTCAGGCAGAGATCAAACGCATGCGCTTTTGCAGTCAGGAACAAGACAGCTTAAAAACGGTATTGTAGGTTAGTTGGCTTGAAAAGCGCGCCGTTGGTGAAGAAGCTGCCTGCTTGTATAGGAAGGCAGGCATCAAGGATCGGCTCTTATCATCGAAATGCAAAGATCAGCTAGTCGGTGCTCGTCAAGAACGTGCTTGGAAAGGCAAAGGCAGAGGACTGACGATAGCTGACCTTAATAGTCTCGAACTTGTCAATTTAGACGGAGTAAGCAATTTTCTCCTGCCCTGACAGGCCGCCAAAGTCTCCTATTAGTCTTCTGTGCAAATCCCATCCCTATCATGTGGTGCGCTCGAAGGTCACACGCCATCATGCGTGCATGATTGCTTTCACGCGTTCCGGATCTCACATGTCTGCAGGACTCGCTGGCTGCACGTATTGAGCCATGTCGCATGTGCACACTGCACTGCAAGTTGTGAGATGTGACATCCGGCTTCGCATGATTCGGAGTCGTCAAGTTGCGGTTCTGGGGCTTCTGTCGCCGTTGCTTTGCTTTTTCCACAGCGGACGTGGGTTGCTCACGTGACTGCTTCCGAAATCGACAACTGCCGATCGTGTTCCTTTTCTCCAGATTCGCCCTATCGAACGGTTGCGAATTCGGGTAGACTTTCCAACCAATCATTGCCTTCTCCGACGCCGCCGTGGGCGGGCCGTCGGAATCCGGTCAATAATGCCATCCCATCTGAGCTGACAAGCTGTCACCATTTTAATGGTCCTTTATTGGTGCCGACTCACAGAGGCCATGTGATATACTGTATGGGGGTGCTTGTAGCCTGTTGATCAAACTGGCAGCTGCTCGTTTCCAGCTGTGAACGCTAGCCGCATTCCGCCTAGCGTTGACCACTTCAAACCGAGTTCAAACCCTGATACAACACAATTCAGCAGAGAAGCTACCACCAACGACAGCTTCCCAAGGAGCATAGCGTTTCCATTTCAGCATCTTAGTGTTCTTGCCAAGCAGACTTGGACCGCTTCTTTGATCACTGGCATACCCTTATCCTTGTCTTGTGCAGCTAGTTTTAGGAAGCTCACCAGTACTATCGCATGCAGAGCAGCTGGCCATCGCCACTTGAGCAGATTAGTAGATGCTGAAACTGCTGGCAGGTCAACGCAATGGCAGCCTCGATGGAAGGTCCGTCAAACGCGCTGAGAATGGTGGGCACCTTTGTGCTTATTCTGGCCTCTGCAAGTGTGGCTTGCAGCACCAATTCTGAAGGGGGGTCTGTGAATGGCAGCTGTGACTCCCAGGTCTATGATGAAGCGGCTATCTCAAAGCTTGCGGTCCTGTATGCGTATGGCATCGACAGCCTTGCTCCAGGTAAGCTGGCCACTCAGGGAAGAAATCGCTTCTCGGTTGTATGCAATTCAAGGAAAAGCCTACAAAGCAGCCCATGAACCTCAGTGCTAAAGTAGATACATATTCTTGAAGGAATCGAAAAAGGACTTATGAAAGCCTCAACTAAGCATTCCATTGCTCTCATTCGACACCCCAGAATCTGCCGCCACTGTGTGCCTGTTCTAAGTCACGGATTTACAGGAAGGGCTGGCTGAGAAGCTTGTCATATTTATACAAGTGCTGGACTCCGTTCAGAATTGGCTAGTCCACTGTCTTTTGTTCTTCACCATGTCATTACGCTTTCCCATGGTCAGTTGGCCGCTTCTGAAGACTTTTGATTCATCAGTGCACCAGCTTCTTTGCTTGCTACTGCTGGAATTCTCCTACTTTTCCTTCTTCTCCTTTCTTGATCAGGTTGTTCTATCTTCGTTGGGCAGCTTAATGAACCATCCTAGCCTTCGTGTACTCAAGAAGAATTGACTTGTTCTGAAGCGATGAATCTGCAGGCAACTTCGATGCCGGGGTTGCAATCCTGCAACAGGTATTCACACCCAATGCCAGCATTGGCACGTGCTTTGCTCCGGGTCAGTGCCTAAACAAGACGGGGCCAGTCGAATGGGCACAAACATCTTCCGCTCTCTTTGCCGCCGGAAATTACTCTGCAACACATCACATGGTAGGGAATCAGCGAATCGAGCTTGACGACAGCAAGCAGGCTGGAACGATGGTGTCCTACCTGACCGCGTCGCAGTTTGTCAGGAACAGCACCAATATAGACCTGTACCACGGGGTTTACTATGACGAAGTCGTGAGGGACAGTGGCGGAGAGTGGAGGATCAGCACGCGGGATTTGCGTACAACTAGCTTCCTGAGAATCATTGGACATCGTGTATCTTGAATAGTGTCTTGACATGTGCCAGTTGTAGAGATGCCACAATCAAGCAGAATGGAACTATCAGATCGAAACTGCAAGGACAAGAGTTCAAGTCGGATGTAATTGCGCAATCTGGCGACGTCCTCGATTTAGAGAAGTCGCTGGGTCGCGCAGAATGAGAAAGAATCATCTAAGAAGTGCGCGAAGTCAATCTGAGTCGGCCATTATGCTACGAGTTCAACAACAGAACGTCTCCTTGTTTGGAAGTAGAATCGATCGCTTCCAGGGCATGGATTTTCTTTTTGTACGTCGAGCGTGTCAATGATGATCCGGTCCTTGTTCAAGTAATTCTCAAGATTGCCACATACAACACGAGTTGTATCATGGACGAGTCTCGGCGAGCTACTAAAGTAGCTGCCTATCAAACATGTGCAAACACTGCCGCCAATCAATTTGAACTCTGATCGAACTTGCATGATACTGAGTACTCCACTCTTTCAAATTCGTGTAAGGAACTCTATTAAGGCTTGCCGCCATGCAGCGCATCTGAACCTTAACATTAACATTCCAACACGAACCGCGGCAGCTCCGTGCGAAGTTGCAATTTGACAATTGTTGTAGCCATTAAATTCAATCATGCTGCGTATATCTTCAAGTCCTGTTCATGTGTACCTAGTTTCACATCTCTATATATATGTGCGGGATCTACAAGAATATTCGAAGCTTTCTGTTAAGGGTTTGAGTCACAGTTAATGTGCACTTGATTGCACTAGTTATCATGAATTGGCCAAGTGGCCGGATGCTTAAGTTTGTCGAATTGATGTTTCGAACGTGAACGACCATCTTTGCCGGGCTTTGGTTTCACCGATTCTGCAAAACGATCTCAGGCCTACCAGATTGGATCAGGTATTGAACATTGTCATGAAAGGTGTATGTGCAATGCAGTCAATTGTGTGCATGCGTCAAACAGCCAGCTTTTCTTGTCAAGCTCTCTGGTATTCTGGTGCGTTGTACTTGCAATGCACACGTGACCGATGAAGAGTCGTAAGCTAGCTAGAGACCCCGCAGCCAACGAAACGTCTCGGTCACAAAAGTCCTTGCTAATAAGTGAGAATTGCACAATGTCTGCTGAAAGCAATACTTCCTCTGCAATTGGCTGCCACAGCTTTGCATTGTGTCAGTGTGCACTTCATCAGCCGTTGTTAATAAAATTGATGAACTTCGAAAGTATAGTTTTGCCGCAAATGCCCCTGTCTCCAGCCTAGATGGGTCTGCAGTGCAACGTGGCATCAACTTATGCTCCACAACTGATAAAAATTCGGTACAGTCCTCTTCAATTCCAGAAAACCTAATCAACTACAGAACTTTAATAAAACGAGCATAGATACTTATATCTTGTAAGCTGTGAATGAACACCTGTACTGTATAAAATAGTCAGCTACCACGTCTTACCGTAACATACCTTCAACATTTCTCAACCTTGCAACCCTACGCCATACCGAAAATCTTCTTGATTGCCGAGGGCTTTTCTGGAACTTCGTCGCCTCTCTTGATGGCTTCTGCCTTCTCTTTTGCAGCCGCAATCATCTCCTCTGCCTCCTGCTGAGCTTCGGCCTTCTTCTCTGCAGCCCTGTGCTCGGCATCGATCTCAGCTTTCTTCCGGTCCTGCTCAGCTTGTGCCAGCTTTTGTTCCACCTTCTTGTGAACCTGCATAAATTACTCCCTCTGTTAACTACTGTTTGCCAGCCTCTCCGTCTGAGGTCGATGCACACACAAGTATTACCTGAGACGGCCAAACATTCTGCAGGATGCTGTCTTTCATGAAGTCAAGAAAGATCCAAAATCTATATTTATATAAGCATTCTCAAACGTCCAAGCAAACGAAGGAGACCCATAGCATTTGGTGGAGCTACAAGAGCTCCTGCGTTCCACAGTCCTGCTGAAAAGCAAGTATCGAAGCAAACAAAATAACCTAAGGGGGTTCTTCCATCTAGCGGTCGGTCTTCGTTCCCTAAATTCCCATTGGCTGAAACACCCTATTTCTGCGGTGAACCGGTCTTTGACTGACCGGTCTTCCGAATTATAAGTGCCACGTCGGCGGTCAAGAAAATGCATTTTCTCTACCGCTGGAGTCCTGGACTCCAGCGGTAGAGAAAATGCCCCAGTGGTCTTCCGAACCTATCGGTGCTTTCAGCCAATCAGAAGACGGTGCGCACCGTGGGGGCTCGAAACCAAATGATTGGGTACCCTGTCTGCACTGGTGCCTCCATTTTAACAACGAAGACCGACCCGAAGAAAGACCGGAGGCCCCTTCCATCAAGCGGTGGTCGGTCTACAATTCTCTGGAATCCTATTGGCTACCTTCACAGTCCTCGGTCTTTCTAGCTGGTCTTTGTTTTTCCAATTTACGAAGACCGACCGCTAGGTGGAAGAAGGGCCTAAGGCACAATCTAAACGGGCAGAGTTCACAAAAATTTAAGGCGCTGGTGTAAACAGTGTGACTTCTCCCTTTCCGAGACCTAAAGTCCATTTTAACGACCAGCCGTAAATAGGGTAGAGTATAGTTTGTTGGGAAAAGATGATATTTGACTATCATTGCAGTCCTCAAAGCGTCGTTCCATTGGCAAAATGCGTCCAAGTATTCATCTGGCAAACCAACAGTTGAAATCGATTTGCAAGTGGCAACCTGCATTGAAAAGGAACCTCTCGTGACTGGCTTAGGACCTTCACATGAAACCAGGTCAGGGGTAGAGATCCACATCAAATTCAAGCGACAACTGTTCATTCCCATAGCCTTCATGTTTCAAGAGTTTGTGGAGAGCTTACAGTTGCTTCTTTGTGAGCTGCTTTTGAGATGGCCTTCTCTGCATTCTTGTCCGCCTTGGCAATCTCGTGTTGTACATGGGCCTGAGCATCTCGTTGCTTCTTCTCGACATAAGCGTCAGCGTGCTTTGTCAGCTTCTCTTCTTTTGCCCTCAACCTGACAAGAGAGAAAATCAGAGCTTAGATTAGAAAGCAGAATGAGGCTTCCAAATGTTTTGACATTGTTCGTTTTACCTCCAAGACGCTACCTTCTGCGTCACCTGTCAGACTTCCAATGCTACTTTCAAGAGTGTTTGAAGTGGGTGGGAGTCCACTGATGTCCATTGATGCATACCATGGCTAAAACGAAAAAATCTTCCCAACGATTTCATGAAGCTTGCAGATGCAAAAGTGAGCAAGAACATTAGTTGATCTCCAATTTTCTTTGTGAACCCTGGATCTAAGAGTGGAGCCAAAGAAGATGTTCTGTAAGTCTTGGAAGTTGCAACCTTGTGATACATCCACTCTGGTTAAGCAGAAAAAGGTGTTGAAAACATACAATTACATCCATGGAGCACCTTGCAATGCACCAAGCAAGCTACATTCTCAAGCTGCATATATTACCTCATTTCTTCGGCCGCCAGTTGCCGCTCCCTTTCTTCTGCGCTTATCACAGGCACTGCTGTCTCAGCTGGGATAGCCTGTTCGTGAGCTGCCATCCCATGTGGAGCCTGACCAGAGGGGCCTGCAACACTTCCTACCATGCCCCCACTTCCAGGCTCAGGGACCATACCGGCGTGAGTTGCCGGTCCACCTTGCAAACCGTGCTCAACCCGCTGCTCGTTGTGAACCAGCCCTGGGGCTGCGCCTTCGACGACCTTCTGACTGCCGGCGACGTGCTGTGCCATCTTTATATGCGGGAAGCGCCACACAGACTAATCAGTTGCTTTGCAGACCGGCTCTTTCGCAGAAGTTTCAAGGACACTCGTTTCAAATGCGCCTATGATTTCCGTTGGTCACAAGTGCAATAGCTGACTGCCGTAATTTCAGCGAAGAGAAAATATGGGCAGAAGTGCGCAGGAGGAAGGCCCTCAAAAGACCTTCCTTTGAAGTTTGCAGGCCGGCCCGCCAGAATGGAGTGATTTGCAGGACACCTAGTAGGTGACCTGAATTCTGATTGCCAGTTGTCACCTCCAGCGAGTTTAGACGACTTAGGCGCCACATGGCGGCCGCTTACTTGTTGACACGTGGAGATTGCAATATGATCGAGCAGAATCCCGCAGGATCACGGTTCCGTCGGACTTGAGAAGTTAACGGAATCGAGCCGGAATGAGCGAGCGGAATCGAGGTGTCTTTAACCATTCGTAGTTAGACGGCTATTAAACCATGCATTGCAGTGTAGCCTTGCTATTACTTAGTTGCTCAATATACCTATGCCGGACGATTCAAGGAAGCTGACGTCACAGTTGAGGCTTACTTGACACAATTTCTGCTGATGGAACAGATGTCAGCACCGGGGAGCAAGCAGGACCATCTGCAACAATGGCAAGTTGCCACGTGTTCGTCGTCCTCGAGGGAATGTCGACTGCTGCCTGACATGCCAACGTCCGTTCTCTTG